GGTAGAGGAGCTTATGTCTGCCAATAATGTTGTATCATTTATTAATGTGGTGCTTGTAATTGTAATTTGTAAGCTACAGTGTTGTCTTACTGTTATCTTTGTTCGGGAATGCAGATGCTGGCGAGTCAAATGGCCAAGGAAAAATGAAGATAGTTATTGCAAAGATGCAAATGAGGTCTCACAGCAGGCCATTAGACTGCTTCGGTGAAATATTATCTTCTGTGGGCACCTCCATATTAATACTTCCAACTCTACTTGTAGGTGCTAATGTATTTGGGCCCTCAAGCAGTGAAGGATGCAATTGATGATGCTGAACTATATCCCATTAAAGGATTATTCCTCTTCAGAGATTTCTTTGATGAAATTGACTCATATTACCATCAAACTCAAGGATACCATTTTGGTGTCTCAACAGGATGGAGGTCTTTGGATGGGCTGTACAGTGTAAGAAGCATTTCCTTTGACTCGGTGCTATTGCATTTCTAGGATGGTCTGTATTTTCAATTGTGTTATTGCTTGATAAAAAGCAGAAAATGAACAGTAATGTAATTTTATGAACGGTTATGTCAGACCAATGTTCGTGAACATGCGTTTGATGGATATAAGCAGTTGACGAATGTTCCGTTAGAGCTCGGCATTATTATCATGAAACAGTTAACAAAGATTTAAGTTCACTCTCGGAATGCTTTTTCCCAGTTTGATGTAAAAACTGTGGTGAAACAATAAAATGAGGATGTGTGCATATTTTGCTGCAGATTTTAGTTCTAAACCTGTTCCATTGCAGGTTTTGCCAGGAGAGTTGACGATAGTAAGCGGGGTTCCGAATTCTGGCAAGAGTGAGTGGATTGATGCTCTCTTATGCAACCTCAATAAAAGTGCTGACTGGAAATTTGCTCTTTGCTCTATGGAGAACAAGGTAAGCTATAGACTACTGATTTTCTGTTTTTTATTTATTTTTGCAGTAATAAAGGGTATTTACTTTGAATGTTGAGAGTTAGCAGTATGAAATTTGCACATTATATAGTTTAGTTTGTCCCGTTCTGGAAGGATAACTTCGCTTTGGACTAATCTTGAATATGGACACTCTGTAGTCATCATGTTTGCTTCTGGTAATAAGACCTGCTAGCTATAACAGGCTTAAAGAACATTAACTCCGATGACGAGACCGAGAAGGCTACACTATGCTGGAAAGAAATGGCTTTACTGAAGATACTTGTTGTCAATCATAAGACTCACATATATTGTTGCAGAATATTCTAATTGCTGCTTATGGGCATTTTTCCAACCTTGCAATTATACGTGGTTTATGGGGTCTAAGTAGTGGCACTGTTAATCGCCATCTTGTATCTTTTGTAGGTTCGGGACCATGCTAGGAAGCTGATGGAGAAATATGTTAGAAAGCCATTTTTCGATGCTCCGTGAGTTGGTGTTATTTATTGCTCAAGTTTTTTTTTGTTCTAACCTATGTCCAACCCCCACTCCATTTTTCTTGCAAGCTGTTTGTTGTTGCAATTCTTGTGCTATTACTAGCTTGATTTTAACATGCTTTCCTGTTTGTCATTGTTTTTCTTCTCTTGTTACTCATCCCAGCAAGTTGTATAACCATAGATCACTGTTTAGGGGCGGATCTGTTATCATTGTTAATGTTTGATGTACTGTGAAATCATGTAGAGGTTTCTTGGAGTGTTATTTTTTTTAACTAGGGTCTCTCTTGGGTGACACCCTTTTGCTTGTTCAAAATTTAGTAGACTTTTCTTCCTGTTCATCACAGGTATGGAGAATCTGCGGAAAGAATTGATGTCATGGAGTATGAGCGTGGGAAGCAGTGGTTGAATGATACATTCTACCTGATAAGGTAACTCAAAACATGCAAGGAAAATGTTACTTGGGAAGTTCCCAGAGCCTGAACAGAACTGGCAAAATGTTTAGACTTTCCCATCTTTTATAAAACTTTCTAATCCTAACAAGTAATTTCGTTTGCTTGCTTGCTCTCTTTGCTTGTGATGCTAATCTGAGTTGGCATCTCTGTAACAGATGCGAAGATGATGCACTTCCAAGCATAAGATGGGTTCTTAGTCTGGCGAAAGCAGCAGTCCTTAGATATGGTGTCCGTGGGCTTGTAATTGATCCTTACAACGAACTTGATCATCAGCGGCCACCTAATATGTGAGAATTTCTCCTTGCCGAATTCTCTTCATTTGAAGTTTTAGGGTATGGTGTATGCCATGGTTTATGAGCGTGGTTGACTGGTATATACCAATGGAAATACTGGTTCCAAATCAAGACTTTGGAATAGCTGATTGTTAAACTCAATTCGGTTAAATGATTCCTAAACTCCTGATACTAAACGTGCGTCTTAATTGTGATTAGGACCGAAACAGAGTACGTGAGTCAGATGCTGACTCTGGTAAAAAGATTTGCTCAGCACCATTCATGTCATGTGTGGTTCGTTGCACATCCCAGACAGGTAATATGGGCATTTTTCTTCTATCTTAACGTTTGACTATTGGGTTATGATATTTATTCACATTACGTGCATTGTTTTGTGCAACAATCAGCTGCACAACTGGATCGGAGGCCCCCCTAATATGTATGATATAAGCGGGAGTGCACATTTCATAAACAAATGTGATAATGGGATCATCATTCATCGCAACAGAAATCCAGAGGCTGGGGACATTGATCAAGTCCAGGTGCGTTGGGCTGCTTGCTGACAGTTCCCGTTTTGCGTACACAACGAACTTATAAGCTTATGCTGGACCTTTTGCGCGCACGATTCTGGATTTTTCTGCAGATTTGTGTTCGAAAGGTCCGAAACAAGGTCGTGGGAACCATAGGTGACGCATACTTGTCATATAACAGGTATGAAGAATAGTATTTCAGTGCTTCTTATGTCATTAGTTTGTCGTGGTGAGTACGGTGATGATGAGTGTGCAAACCTTTTCGACAGGGTTACTGGTGAGTTCAGGGATACCGAAACCAATCACCGAAAATGATTGTGAGAAGGTGGGAATGTGTGGAAATCTTGGTCTTTCATCCCAATTTTCAGGGTTTGTGGAGGGTTGGAAGAGACAAGAGAGAAGACTGCATTTCCCAATATGTAGATGATACGCTGGATGAAACCAAACCTGTTCATACTTGTAATGTCGGGTTGGTAATGTTTCTTCATATCAAAATGTTAATATTGGAATTGAATCCATTGACATTATAGAGTACAAACATGTTAATCTTATCATATTGTACCTAGTCAGTTGGCCGAACAATGGGTATTCTGATCATATTGTATCGGTTGGTTAGGCGGTTAAAATCACATCTTAGTCGAATCAGTATGGAGTACAGACATCATTAAGAATTTTTGTTGACCAGTTTATACGGCTAGGATGACAGCCCGCTGTGATAACAACCAATATTATTATATATTTTATTTGATACAAGTATGCTATTGGTGGAACCATGGTTGTATTTAGAAGTAGTGCAACGGTTTGCCTCATACGCGACCGCACCGGATAAACCGGATCGTATCGAACCGAATATAATATTGTACAGTCTTTGGTTTTCGTGACTTTTACAAATATTGGAGTGGAGTGAGTTATCATTTAGATTGGATCAAATCAAACCAGTGCAACTCGAGTGCAATGTTGGTCTAGACCTACATGTCTTTCACTATTGATTATTGAAGCATGGTTTTCATGAGTTTGGTCTGCTTTGGTCCGAATTGTTTCACACCTCTAGTTGTATTGTATTAATAAATACTTTTTGTTAAGTTATGCGATTCAATTTTTAGTGCGGTTTCACAATGAATGAGTTGAATAAGTTTATATTATTCATTTTGCCGATTTAATGTTTGCCCCAAATATTTTAGATTTCTAGGGATGGTAACTTTGCCCATACCCATGGGTTTCTTACTATCCAACTCAATTGGGTTGAGTATGAAATCCAAATATATGGATATGGGTAGAGTTTGATAGGTTTGTACCCATACCCATTTACTTTGGGTTGAGTTGGGTTTATATCAAATGGATTTGGGTTTGTACCCATGCCCAAATACAAATTACAGTTTGGTACCCAAACTTAATAGACATGCATATTTAGTACCTAAATTTAATTTTTTTTGCATATAAGTCCTCAAAATATCGATGGAAAATTACATTTTGGTACCTAAATTTTTTTGGTCTTACATTTTGGTACCTAAACTTTTTCAAGTTTTGCAAATAGGTCCAATTTTTGCATGTGTAGTTAAAACACCCTCAAGTAAATGGATATCCATATCCAACCCATACCCATTTAGATTATGGAAGCCCCAAACCCAAACCCATCTATAAACCCCCAAATTCATATGCACTCACCCATACCCAACCCATTATCAATGGGTCTACTTGGATTTGGGTATAATTACCCATGGGTGGGTAATTTGCCATCCCTATAGATTTCTATATTTCAAGGTTAGTGTAAGACACTCTTTACAAAGTAAAAATTCTTTTAGTTCTTAATGTAACTAACTGGAATAGGGTTTTTCCATAGGAGCTCAACATGTAATCTAGGATTATCATCTCTTTGCTAAGACTAGCTTAGCCACGGTGTAAAAAATGCTCAGTATTTAGCCTACTTATTCAATGATAGTTTAATTGTTCAATCTTCAATCGTTGTGGGTCGTCTAATTTCATAAAGTATTGACATATGAATCATATCAATATTTCACGACCTTGAAATTCAAAGTTACTATGTTATGCCTGAAACTATGATTCTCAGTGGCTGGGCTAGGTATGAACAATTATAGCAACCTAAGAAATTCAAACTTGAGACCTAAAGGTTGAAGACCAGTGACAATACCACTAGATTAAGCCCTTATTCGATAGAATTAATTGTTTATACTCATTAGTGATGTCCTTACTCACATGAATGATCTAACATACAATAATGGTTAAGACTATACCACCATCATATCAAATTTGTTATTCAGGTGAAGTGCTAATATGTCAAGTAGAATTCTAGGACATCATTGCACAATAGAATTTTTATTATTGTCCATTCTACACTAACTTGGCATCTGAATTAATTTTCCCCCGAATCTAACTTTAAGATTGTTAAGTCTTCAATATGAATAAGTGTTAGGACAAATACAATTAAACTCAGATTTTAAAATTTAAAAACTTACGGTTTTACACTTTTTATTGCACAAGGAAATCAAACCGTAAAACTTGACAATACACGATTTGTCATTTCATTGACTTTCTAAAGAACGACCAATAATTCATTGGCAAAACAGTAAGTCTCGAAATATCAGTTAACTTTTCTCAAAAAAGAAATATCAGTAGTCTACCATATAAGTGAAAAAAGCATAATCGAACCAAAACCAGAGCGTCGGTCGAGCAATCCAAACCGGCTCGATCATGAAAAATCACATGGACAAAGGAGGGACGCTCTGTTCGTTCCTGAAGAAATTGGAAGGGTCAATGGCGGCTTTCACCCGAGCCAACCTCTCAAAATTATGCTTGAAATACTGCTCCCCCCAACCTCTGGCCTGCTCGTAGCTCGTCTCCCCCGTCGGATCATTCATCCCCAAGTCCAGATCCCTGGAATTCGCGTACGCTCCTCTCGGGTTCTTGGAGACGAACGGCGTCAGGAATTCGTGCAGCTTCCTTATCCATCCCAAATGCCTCTCTTCCACCTCCTTCTGTTCACCCGACCATGCCACATAGTACTGGATTTTGTACACAGTCCCGGCTCTATATGAGTAAGGAGTGCTGGAATCCGAGATTCGGCTCATCATCCCTCCGTGAGGAATGAGATGGAGCAGAGCCGCCCCTGGCTCCACTTGATGAACCCTGCTCCAGATCCCCTGCAACGCCGATTCAGGGAGCGGCGTGCCCACGTAGTCCGATTTCGCTTTCAGCTTCGCGAACGAGATGGGCGAGTCCGTCCTGCTCTTCAGCAGCACGTCGTAGGTGGAGTTGCTCGGGTAATTGGCGAAGTGAAGCACCGACTCGATCCAGCTCATCTCCTTGCAATCTTCTTCCTTCAATCCCAGCTCCGGGAAGTTCTCATTCATAACCCTCAACAGCTTTCCTTTTCTCCCCAAATACATGACTTGGAATGCAGCTTGCAGTACCTGTTTGGTGGAATTACCCTGACCGCGCGCCGCCGCAGCGCCGATCATCACCAGGATCATGAGATCGTCCGGCAGCTTGTCCGCCACGCGCTGGTACCGGTCGACGAGCATCGTCATCTCCGCGTCGCCGTCGGACGACGCCGACGTTCTGGAAACCGTGAACGCGGACAGTCGGAGCGGGACTCGTACCAATTTCAGTTTCCACGAGACGACGATTCCGTAGGTGTTGCCTCCGCCGCCGCGAATCGCCCAGAAGACGTCCTCCCCCATCGCGGCCCTGTCCAGGACCCTGCCGTCCGCGTCGACCAGCAGGGCGTCGCGGATGTTATCCGCCGCCATCCCGAACTTCCTCAGCGTGGTGCCGTACCCTCCGCCGCTGATGTGGCCGCCGAGGCCGACGGTGGGGCAGAGCCCCGCGGGGAAGGCGAGCGTCCTGCTGGCGGAGGCGATGCTGTGGTACACTTCGGCCAGAACGGCGCCGGATTGGGCCCAGGCGGACTTGGAGGGGACATCTACGGTCACGTTGCGTAGATTGACGAGGTCGAGGAGGAGGAACCGGGAGGATAGTGAGGCGTAAGACGCGCCTTCGAAGTCGTGGCCGCCGCTTCGGACTCGGAGGTGGAGGCCGTGCTTGCGGGAGCAGAGGACGGTGGATTGGATCTGGGGGATGGTTGTGGGAGTGACTATGGCGATGGGTTTTGTTCTTGACGAGGAGGCGTTGTTGCTGAATCTGGGGTTTCGAATGGAGAACTGCAAGACGGAGGCGTATGCGGTGGAGTTTTGGGCGGTGTAAATGAGGTTGGAGATGGCGTCTTCTTGGGAGCAGAGGCAGTGGAGTAAATCGTGGTACTGCGGCTGCGGCTGGTTGTTGGTGGCGACTGAAACGCCTATCCACGCAGACGAGAAGAATGGGAGGAGGAGGAGAAACCGAGTTAGGGAGAGCAAGGAGGTTGGAAATTTCATGATTGTTGAAACCAAAGGCAAATTTGAGGGACGGAGTCGCTTGGGGCATTGTCCATTTTATACTTTTTAGATAAAAAGAGCATTTCCAGAAGGGAGAGTGGGGATTGGGGAACAATTTGGACAAAGGACAAGTGCTTTTCTTTGAAAAATGGGTGGTACTTGCAATCGATGTCAAAGTTTGACCCCCACAAGTGCTTTCTTTTGACAACACAAATGATAACTAAGGCCACTATTATTGCGATTTTCAACCAAAACCACTAATAATTACAATGCATTACTTTAAGGGTGTATTCGTGTGGAATAATTTGCTTCGCCACTAGTAAAGAGATACTTGAATCAACTGAAATTGGACTTGAATGGTTTGAGATTCGGTTTCGTGAACTTTCTGAATATACAAGAAAGGATAAATCGATATTTGGGCTGAACGAAATTGGTTCAAATGCGCTAATAGTGGATTGAAGGCACTAATAATCCAATTTTGTTCCTCAAATTTTTTCAAACTGCCTTTATTGTGTGGTAGTTCGACACATCCTCGCCCACCGCCTGCTGGCTTGGAGTTAGCCTCACCCTCTCATATAGGCATATCAACGAGTACAACGCAAACGTCCTGCCTGCGCATTGCATTGCTTTAGAATTAGTGGTGGAGCTACATGTGGTATAGAAGCTGTTATGGTCCTTGGTTTTTTTATCTAAGGTTATAATGTGAGTGTAGACACCTCATTTTGTCCGGGTAAATTATCCAACTAAAAATTCCAACTTAAACCGTGAAATATCGTAAGATAGATCGGCCATTGCGAATCTAAAATATCAACGAATGTACAGTTTATTCGAATTCGATTCCGGTGGATCTAATAGGATCTATTGGCTTCTAATCTCAACTTTTTGCACAACACAAAAAATAAAATAAGAAGAAAAATGTATTATTAAAATTTTTACTAAATTACAATTACAATCATAATTACAAATCACAAATAACTAATGAGAGTTACAAGTGTTCAATAAGTTTCAGGCTTGACCCACCATCTCCTTTGAAGCAAATCAACCTTGGACCTGCAATGCAATGAAGAAAGGCCAGTTAGTCCAAACTCAAGTGCAATATGAAGCAGCCCAACTCGACCCAGGCCCGAAGGAAACCCAGTCAGGCCCAACCGAGCCCAAGCTCAAACGAATTTGGACCAGATCAGACATCATGGGGCTGATGCAAGCCATCCCAAAGACCCGACCGACAAACTGGTCGGACCAGAATTGGTCTGGCCAAACCCAGACACCACCGCCTCATTTTTTCTATAAAAGGAGGCCCAATTCCCAAGGAAGGGGACAACTTTCAGAAGGGGGAAATACTGGAGAAAATACTGTCTTTTCTTTCTTTCAGAGTTCAAGTTCAGAGCTCTTTCTTTCTTTCAAAGCTCTCTTTTTCTTCTTAGTAAGTTCAGAGAGAGAGAGTGCTGAGAAAATAGAAAGAGAAATACAATATTTTTTTATTTCCTTTCTTTATCTTCTCTCAAATAGAAGCAGAAAACCTCAAGGCAAACAAAAGTCCAACAAGGTTTGTATTGAGCCAACAAAGTGGTTTATATTCCAGTTATAATAATATACTATTGATTTAATCTCTTCTCTACTACTTTTTTGTCAATATCATTCTATTATTGCAATTATCAGCATCTCTTTCTTTATCTTTCTTCACAATATTTTTAAAAATCAATCAACTCTAATCAAAGTTCACCATGACCAAATTGATTTAGAAGAGTGATTTAAACTAATCAATCCCATATTTACTGTCAACTTGTTCATTTGGCTTTCGCTTATTTACTCATTTCAAGCTTACTGACTATATTAATTATATTAACCTACAATACATGACTTTCTACTTGTCAGTTAGACTTCTTATTACGTAGTATTGTTGCTACCAATTGTGCTATTTACTTTTCGTCATTTTTCAATTCCTTTATTTATGTCATGTTTCGATCCCTTTATTTTCTAGAACTAGAATATAGATGAGATCACCAAAAACAGATTGTCATTTTTCCTAAATACCCAAAAATCACATCCATTTCAACAAATCCATATTAACCAAAAGACACTAGGATGTTAACCGAAAGGCCAAATTTAGAATTGATTATGAGTTTCAAAACCATCAATTTTTATCAGAAATCCCCAAGTAAACCTCAAAATCCAGATTACGACAAACACACATTCATTCCTAAAACTCAGATCTGTAAATCGTTTTCAAACCTACATTATAATCCACTTTTTTAGTGTTTCTCCCAAACCACTTCGAGCAGAGTTTAGGAAAACCTCACCTAGCTCTCTGCCCGTTTCCAAAACCTGCAAAAATAAGGAAAGAAGAGTCAGTACTTGCACAATCGAAGAGAGTAGCATCAAAGTAAAAAAATCCGCAAAGCCTACCTTTTGTTATCCTTCGATTTTGTCATCGCCGACGAAATCAATCCTCCCTCGTCGCTGTTGACTCTCCGTCTCCTCCCAACAGAAAGCCAAATTCCAAAAATCAAAATAAAAATAACAAAGAAACCCGAAATCGATTTCAAATATCAAAAGTAAACTTACCCAGATCCCCTTTCGTCGCGTCTGGCAGTCGATCTTCCTTCGCCGACGGCGAGACCCACGACCGCCGATAACTTTCGTTCTTCCTCCCCTTACCCACAACAGAAACCAAAAATCAAGAGAAGGAAAGTCATCATCCCTAAAAAACCCAGAAAATCAAACATGCAAACATAATCCGCAACTTACCGTCGATTTAGAGGCTGACCGGCGCTCCAATGGCATATTTTGGGTTGGGATCCCGTCCGATTTTGCTGTGGAACGTGAGATATGGGAAGTGATTTTCCCCTTTTGTTTATCGGAAAGAAGAAGAAAGTAAATCGAGGGAGGAGGGTTTCTGATTTCAGAAGGCATGGCGGAGAGTGAAGGAATGGTTTTTGGGGTCTCTGGTTCGTTTCATAGAGAGAATGGAGGAGAAGAGATAGACGAGTGGAGAAGAGAGGAGAGTGTTCATTTTTCTTCTTCTTGTTCTTTCTGCAGATGAAAAACGTGAGAGGAGAGGAGAGAGAGGGTGAGCGGCGGCCTACTTAGAATGAATTGGGGTTTTGTTTTCGTCTTAAGAGGCGAATATATACCATAAATTTTAAAATAACCAAACTACCCCTAGGGTTCTCAGTGTATTACTCGGCCTTGCCACCGCCCCCTTCTCCTTAAAATCGACCAAAAATAAGGTGTGTACATAGGGTTCGACACTATAACCTGATGCTCTCACCAGTCAACTTGACAAACCAGTAAGCTACAACATGATCTTTGCAACTTTAGGCCTCGTTTTATTTTATCATCAATCAAGCTTAATACGTAGGAATCTCGACCTGGTTACATAAAAATCTCCTATGTTTATTTTTCCACTACATCATTACCTATTTGTATATATTTTTCTATAAATATTCAATAAAATGAAATCATGGTTAATAGATCATGATGATTTTTATAGTATAATCTTTCCATAATCATTAATCAATTGATTCTAACTAACTAAAAACTTCTACTTTTCATTTATCAAGATGTACGTCAATAGACGTAAAATCTTATTGTGTGCCAATAGTATACGAAATTTATTTCAACTCAATAGTCCAATAGGACTTTAAGTTAAATCATTAACAATTTAAACACCCAACCCTTTAAAACTTATCGATTTGAGTAGTACCAATTTTGGGCGTTGTGGGGTGTAAAACACTTCCCTACACGTAACCGTACTCCCGAACCCAAATCTCCTAATTCGCAGACCAAATCTCGGTTTCGATCCTAAGGTCGAGACCGGACCAAAGAGTGTTCGATCCACTCCAAGTAAGATCGGTGGCGACTCCGAGCGTATTCGGGACGGATTCCCCCGATCTCGAGGGGCGGTTGCAACAGTGGCGACTCCGGTGGGGATGTTGAGAATCGAAGTACAATGTTAAATCGATAAGCTTCCCTTACCATCTTTAACGTGTTGGGTGTTTATTAATTTGTTTGTGCATTTAATTTAACCCGTATTTAATTATTTACATTCATACATCAAAGCTCTATACCCGAGCTCTCCTTTAGAAATTGCAAGGTGTAACGTGACTCCTACAATAGTAGGGGAATATCGTGAAACTTACTAACCAAGTTGAACTCAAATTCGAGGTTGATTTGAGGTATCCGGCTAAGCTTGAAAGAGCAATAGTAGGATACAACTTGGGTATTTTCCTAGATACCTTTACCAACCATTTAGTAAGCTTAGCAGCCGCCCAACACCATATCGTATAAACCTTGTCGTCAAATCTTCCATAACTTTTTATGTTTATTTAATACAGAGAATTGTTTTTTAATTTCGATATATGTTTGCTTTTGATGTGATAATTTGTGCATTATTGATTACTCATAAATAATGTGATTTTATTATGCACATAATAGCTTTTCAAAATTCTTGACATTAGCATTCATCCTATTCAAAATCTTAAAAGATAAAGCACATGCATCCATTAAAGTCATCTTTGCATTTACACATTCACATCATTTAGCATCATAAGCATCATATATACAAAACCGTTTAACAAACAATAAATTTGTCAGGGTTCCTTAAAATTGCTCGCCTACCAGGAAAAAGTCAGCCTTCTAAGCACTTCACTAGATCAAAACTCAAGGTCTTCATGGAGGCATTTCAGAAACAGATAAACGACATCAATGGGAAGCTAACAGGGTTTGATGAGAAACTGACAGGTTTCGATGAAAAATTGGCGGTTTTTGATGAGATGAAAGGTCAACTCAACACAATTTTGGGCATATTATCAGGAAAAGGAAAGGGGGTTGCAACTAACGAAGAAGAAGCGATATTCGACGAAGAAGATCACTATGAACCACCTAAAGGAGATGCCTCAGGTAGTAAATTTATTCTCATACCTTCGAAGAACACATGTGACGAAGATGTCATGGGACAACCAAAGCATGACAAATTAGAAGAGACTGAGAAGCAGGAGGAACATGGGGTTGATGCTATGCTGAAAGAAAAATTGGAACACATGAATGAACGAATAAGAAGCATAGAAGGATTTGAATCCTATGAGCCTATGGATGCATCGCAACTATGTTTAGTCCCAGACGTCATAATTCCTCATAAATTTCAAATGCCTGAATTTGAAAGATACAATGGCACTACTTGCCCAAGAAGCCATCTAGTCATGTTTTGTAATAAAATGGCTAACTATATTCGTGATGAAAGGTTGATGATACATTGCTTCCAAAATAGCTTGAGCAGCTCCGCGCTGAGATGGTATATGCAATTAGAGAAAACGAAAGTGAAAAGGTGGCAAGACCTAGCCGATGCATTCATGAGGCATTATAAGCATAACCAGGATTTGGCACCAGATCGGGAGGATCTACGTAATATGGAAAAGAACGAGAAAGAATCGTTCAGAGAGTATGCTCATAGATGGAGGGAGAAGGCGTCAGATGTTCAACCCCCGCTGTCAGAAAAGGAAATGGTGTCAATCTTCTTCGGAACATTGAGAGTTCCGTATTACAACAACATGGTGGGGATTACCACAACCAACTTTGCGGACTTGCTAGTAATTGGAGAGCGAATTGAAAAGGGATTGAAGCAAGGTCGGATGGAAAGTCCAGAAGCCTCCAAGAAACCATACCAAACCCGAAGGGGAGATGGGGACGTTCATTCTGCTCAAGAGGATTCATCAAGAGGAAAAAGGTGGAATCACCAACCCCAAAGCAATCAAGCTCATCCCTATGTTTCAAACACTGCACTAATTACTCAACATCCAAGTTTTCCTACTCAACCACCAGTCCAAAATTTGCCACCAGTAGCACCACCACCAAATAACCAAGAGCAAAATAATTTTGGGAGATACAAGAAACCCATCCAGATTGACCCTATTCCAATCACATACACTGAACTTCTTCCCCAACTACTTGAAAGTCGTCTAGTTTCTATTTTACCATGTGAACCTATGCAACCCCCATACCCACCATGGTACAAGTCAGAACAACATTGTGCTTACCACTCTGGTGTCGCAGGACACTCAATTGAAAGTTGTAGAGCGTTCAAGATTAAGGTCCAACAAATGGTGAATGCAGGTTGGTTGAAATTTGAAGGGAAGCCAGATTGTCCAGACATCAACAATAACCCACTTCCAACTCATGGAAATTAGTGTGTTTACTACAAGGCAAAGCTCGATGCAAGAATGATCCTCGCCATATTAAGTAAATAAATGTCAAGATCATTTGCCCTGCTAAGATGTATCACCTTTTCTTTCATCGTCATGAATAAAAGATTTTCACATTTCGACTTATTTAGATCATTGTGTGACTATATCAACCTTAATCTATGAGTTTGCATCAATGTTTTGTTGTTAAAAGTGGTGAATTTTCATTTGTTGAAAATTGATTTTTTTTTCTTCTTCTTCTTTCTCAACCATAAAAGTTCATTTTTTTGTCTTCAAGACGAGCCATGTGATTGCCACGCTATGCAAATATGAGCACCCTACTGGTGTTGAAGAGTTTAAACATCATATCGATGTCGAGTGATTATAAATGCCCTACTAGTATCGAGAGTTTGAGCACCCACATGTGTTGAGAGTGTGTGCACTTCGCTAGAGTTGAGAGTATTAACACCCCACTGGTGTTCGCGGATTACGAATAAATAGTCAAAGGGTGTAATGAGAATACGACATCATGCTACTTGTAGAATCTCGTCACTGCCATAGCCAAATGTTGCTAGCAAATTGGATTGACCAAGAAAAAACATTTGAATAATACAACGATTATTTGACATTATAATCTATGGGAGAGAACTGCCCAATCGTCTTAGCAAAAAAAAAACACTCATATTACCATGACAAAAAAACTCTTGACCTTTTGATACTCTTGCTCCTAAACCCAAATACCAATACGAAGAAGAGCATATATGGGGGAATAACCAAGTCAAGTAAGTCCCACAAAAAAAAAGGCCAAAAAGGAAACTAAAAAAGCAAAAAAAAAAAAAAACAAATCAAAAATATTGTGGGACTTACAAATTGGACACCCCTTATCAACATTTGAGTCTCGATCATTCACTGCAAGTCAAAATGTTTGTCGACCATTCACAAGAGAACCTGAAGCAATAACTTCCATGATAAAAAGGGGGTTTTGCAGCCAAAACTACATCAAATGAGGGTCTCCATTGGTTATCATTTCAAGAGCAACTTTCCATATCCAAGTTTGTATTCACAAATATCTCATTCATTCACTACTCGACCCCCACCTCTAAAGCCAAAATCTCAAGACAAGGGGGTAATGTAAGATGTATTCCCCAATATGTCCAAGAGCCATCACTATTTTTTGAGAAAGCAAGCAAGACTTCCTCCTCAAAATCCATGATAATAACCATTAATATCACCCCCTACCCATCAGTTAATCTCATACTTCGGGGGCAAGCCAATTTCCCCCTACAAGAAAACTTCACATTGCCAAAAGCAGACTTCACAAGGACCTCCTTATCCGCCACTCACTAAAAAAGGGATTCTAACATTTTTCGGTGTATCAGACAAGAGTATCCTTTCGGGGAAAGCAAGGATTTCCAATACCATGTCATGCTATAACCTCTTAATTTCATATTCCAAGGTTCCCATTATAGAAAACTGTCACCACAAACACATTTGACCATCAACATAAAAGGAGGCATCTCACGTGACCAGAATCTCTATGTTAGCTGAAATGTCATATACTCAAAGCACCCCTAGGAATGAGTGAAAGTGAAATCAAGCATGATATTGAGAGTGAGAGTGAGTGCTTATGGATTCTCTCATGGTTTGACTCTCTCTTTGCACTGAAAAATGAAAAATAAATTTATCAACATGGCAGTATCCCCCTCAAAATTTTATCCGCAACACCAGGTCCTCATTATACTTTTCCAGCCGCACTTTTCATACATTTTTGCACTCATCTCAAATAAAGGTTGATAAAGTCACTCTTTGTTCCGAAGAATAGAAAGTGAACAACATATCTTTGGGGGCAAGAATGATGTAGCCTCAAAGAAGAACAATCCTGAAATTCTCACAAGCCAACTTGCTCACTTTTCAACTCACCGGTTTAGAAATCTCAAAGAACTTGAGAACGCCATTGATTTCATTCATTCATCCAACCAATCATTCATCTGACACAAAAGGAGCACAATACACTACACCAAAGCCAATTTAAGAACCCTTCATGGAACAATGAGAAGCTCGAAGGAGGTTCGGTCAAGAGCTCACACCATTGAGCACAACTAAGGATCCAGTCTACAAAAGGCAATGATTCAATTCTTGTGGGCGTTCAATTTAAAGGAGCCCAAGTCAACGAAAACAAAATATTTTCAAAACAATTGAAAATGTATCATATCCTCTATTTGCATATTCACGACATTATCATTCATTAGCATTGACTCATCACACAATCATTTCCAACATCATTTTTATACTCAGTACTTGACATCATCATACATCAAAGTGAATTGTTAATCGTCACAAAAACCTCTCAAACATTTACTAAATGTATATTAAAAATTTTCATGCGAAATACAAATACACATTTTCATTAATGATTAGCTTGATTTTATCACAGTTATTATTCTCATTGTTTGATTTAATTTCTATCACAAACAATTTTAGTACAACGTCCTTACAAAATGATTAGTTTGATTTTACCAATGTCATTTCTCTCATTGTTTCATTGATTTCCATCACAAACAATTTGAGCACAAAATACTTACACAATGATTAGTTTGATTTTACCACTGTCATTTTTCTCATTGTTCGATTTGATTTCTATCATAGACAATTTGAGTACAACTTCCTTACAGATTGATTAGCTTGATTTCATCGTTGTCATTTTTCTCATTGTTTCGATTGATGTCTATCACAAAAAATTTGAGTACAATGTCGTTACAAAATTATTAGCTTGATTTTACCTCTAAAAATACAACAATTGGTGCTGGCGAGCGCCTGAAAAATACGACACTGACACTGGTGAGCGTTCGAAAAGTACACTGGTGTTGGCGAGCGCTTGAAAAATACGACACCGACGCTAGTGAGCGTTCGAAAAGTACACTGGTGCTGGAGAGCGCCTGAAAAATACTACATCAATGCTAATAAGCATAAAACAATTAACCATCAAAATAAATTCATCAATTAGCGCTGACGTGCGCTTTGTTTACGTCATCATAAGAAAATAAACCCAACAATTAGCGCTGACGTGCGCTTCGTTTACGTCATCATCGAGAAAAATGTAACAATTGGCGATGACGAATGTCGAAAAATACGTCAGCAACAAAATATAATACCCAACTGAACTGAGAAAATGTGGTGTCTATACGAGAACTTTGTATAACTCTTTATATAAAGAGATATACAAAGGGGGCAACTGTAGACACCTCATTTTGTCCGGGTAAATTATCCAACTAAAAATTCCAACTTAAACCGTGAAATATCGTAAGATAGATCGGCCATTGCGAATCTAAAATATCAACGAATGTACAGTTTATTCGAATTCGATTCCGGTGGATCTAATAGGATCTATTGGCTTCTAATCTCAACTTTTTGCACAACACAAAAAATAAAATAAGAAGAAAAATGTATTATTAAAATTTTTACTAAATTACAATTACAATCATAATTACAAATCACAAATAACTAATGAGAGTTACAAGTGTTCAATAAGTTTCAGGCTTGACCCACCATCTCCTTTGAAGCAAATCAACCTTGGACCTGCAATGCAATGAAGAAAGGCCAGTTAGTCCAAACTCAAGTGCAATATGAAGCAGCCCAACTCGACCCAGGCCCGAAGGAAACCCAATCAGGCCCAACCGAGCCCAAGCTCAAACGAATTTGGACCAGATCAGACATCATGGGGCTGATGCAAGCCATCCCAAAGACCCGACCGACGAACCGGTCGGACCAGAATTGGTCTGGCCAAACCCAAACACCACTGCCTCATTTTTTCTATAAAAGGAGGCCCAATTCCCAAGGAAGGGGACAACTTTCAGAAGGGGGAAATACTGGAGAAAATACTGTCTTTTCTTCCTTTCAGAGTTCAAGTTCAGAGCTCTTTCTTTCTTTCAAAGCTCTCTTTTTCTTCTTAGTAAGTTCAGAGAGAGAGAGTGCTGAGAAAATAGAAAGAGAAATACAATATTTTTTTATTTCCTTTCTTTATCTTCTGTCAAATAGAAGCAGAAAACCTCAAGGCAAACATAAGTCCAACAAGGTTTGTATTGAGCCAACAAAGTGGTTTATATTCCAGTTATAATAATATACTATTGATTTAATCTCTTCTCTACTACTTTTTTGTCAATATCATTCTATTATTGCAATTATCAGCATCTCTTTCTTTATCTTTCTTCACAATATTTTTAAAAATCAATCAACTCTAATCAAAGTTCACCATGACCAAATTGATTTAGAAGAGTGATTTAAACTAATCAATCCCATATTTACTGTCAACTTGTTCATTTGGCTTTCTTATTTCCAGTGCCCTTATTTACTCATTTCAAGCTTACTGACTATATTAATTATATTAACCTACAATACATGACTTTCAGACTTCTTATTACGTAGTATTGTTGCTACCAATTGTGCTATTTACTTTTCGTCATTTTTCAATTCCTATATTTATGTCATGTTTCGATCCCTTTATTTTCTAGAACTAGAATATAGATGAGATCACCAAAAACAGATTGTCATTTTTCCTAAATACCCAAAAATCACATCCATTTCAACAAATCCATATTAACCAAAAGACACTAGGATGTTAACCAAAAGGCCAAATTTAGAATTGATTATGAGTTTCAAAACCATCGATTTTTATCAGAAATCCCCAAGTAAACCTCAAAATCCAGATTACGACAAACACACATTCATTCCTAAAACTCAGATCTGTAAATCGTTTTCAAACCTACATTATAATCCACTTTTTTAGTGTTTCTCCCAAACCACTTCGAGCAGAGTTTAGGAAAACCTCACCTAGCTCTCTGCCCGTTTCCAAAACCTGCAAAAATAAGGAAAGAAGAGTCAGTACTTGCACAATCGAAGAGAGTAGGAATCTCGACCTGGTTACATAAAAATCAATCAATCAAGCTTAATACGTAGGAATCTCGACCTGGTTACATAAAAATCTCCTATGTTTATTTTTCCACTACATCATTACCTATTTGTATATATTTTTCTATAAATATTCAATAAAATGAAATCATGGTTAATAGATCATGATGATTTTTATAGTATAATCTTTCCATAATCATTAATCAATTGATTCTAACTAACTAAAAACTTCTAC